CTGGACTTAGGAGCAAAACCGTTCTGCATGTCTGAGCTGTGATTAACGCCCTTGGGCAACTCTCCACGTCCATTACAGCCGCAGCCCAGCCATCCCATCCCCGAAAGGACTCCCAAACCTCTTACGCTCTTCTTCAGTAACTCGAAGTTTCTCTGAAGTGGGAACAGCGATGGCGTGGCTGAATTGTGGCGAGGAATGGGAGCGTCCCTTCTTTCTCTAGAGGTGCCGTGGGGACATCGCGGGCCCTGCCAGGGGACCTCAGTGGTGGGGGCCGCCGCCCAGCCTCCGGAGGCAATGTCTTTGAAGCCCGGCCTCCTGCTCAGTCCTCCTGGCTGCTTTTTAATGACCTGTCTCCTGAGGGCACCTCTGGTGTTGAATTTTTGGAAAGAAAAGCAAAGTACAGACTCTAGTAAATGTCTTCTCACAGACGGGCCTGGGTGAGCCACGGGGCCAGCTCTGGTGGGCAGTGCTCCCTGGGGTGTGAGGGTGCACAGTGGGGGCGGCCACCTGGCCTTTGAGCCTCGGAGACCTCCTTGGGCAGCTGGGGTCGGGGAGAGGGTGGAAGGGGCGACGCCCTCAGGGATTTGGGAAGGGCCCACCGAACGCTGCCCACTGTAGCTGATGACTGTCAGTTACATACGGAAGCTGCACACCTGCCTTCCGAAGGCAAGATCTGGTCCACAGACACCACTCAGGAAGTGACCGTGGGGTCTGTCTGAGTATCTCTGGAAGGGGGTGGGAGGGGACCAGAGTGCCTAAGACCCCCCTCACCCCTCCAGACCTCATTTTTTCTGGCCCCACTTCTGGCTGCCGATGGGCCAGCGTGCTCAGGACATGGACGGTCACACAGCCACCCTGTGTGACTCAGGCAGGGCCAGTGTCTAACTGTGGGGGCCTCAGTTGGCCCCGGGGATGAGCCCAGCGAGAGGCCGGGCTCTGGCAGCCCCACAGAGGACGCTGGTGAGGGAGGTCAGCCCTGAGCCGCACGGGGCAGCGGGGAGGAGTCCTGGGCTGACCGGCGCTCCAGCCTGGTGCTTCCTGTCCTGCCCCCTGAGGTCCCCTCGTGGCTCCTGAGACACGTCTCCACTGCACGTCTCTGCCGGCCCCAGTCTGACCTCTCTGCCTCCTGCTGCTCCCTCTGCCCCGCCCCCCATTTCCTGTGTGGGACAGCGGCCTCGGGGACCAGCTACATGTCACTTCGGAGAAGTGCTTGTTGGCATTGGCCCCCCATCCCCTGCCGGCGCACTGGTCCCCGTTGCTGTCCCCTTCCTGCCGGCTCACGGGTCACTGCTGCCGTGTCCTGACAGCCCCACAGGGCCGCCCTCCCCAGCCTCTGGGACAGACCCCGGGACAGTCCGTGAGTCTGGGAACTGGACCCTCAGTGCCAGGGGGGTCTTGTCTCCTGGCCAGGAATGAGAAGGGGACCCACGGGTGCTGCCGAGGTCGGGTCGGGAGTCCTTTCTCGTGTCTGTCTTGTGTTTCCTGGTTCGGTTTCAGGACAGAAAACCCGCAGATCGAGTCATGTCCGGTCGTGAAGAAATGGCCTGTATGTGCATAGCAGGGCCTCTTCTGTTCTGTGCTTAGAGGTCAGCCCTCAGCCCCGATGACCAGCGTGGCTCGTGGGTTGCGTGTCATCCCTCAAACTGAAAGGTCGCAGGTTCGATCCCTCATCCGGGCACGTGCCTGGGTTTCGAGTTGGGTCCCCAGGTGGGCCGTGTGAGAGGCAGTCGATGGATGCTCCTCTCTCACATCGATGTTTCTCTCCCTTTCTTTCTCCTTCCTTTCCCCTGTCTCTAAAAATAATAAGCAAAATTAACTTTAAAAAAGGTTAGCTCTCAGGATCTCCTGAATAATTTTCACAAGCAGCAGAACACGTCAGCTGCTCCTCCGTGTCATCCTTCCCGTGTCGGGGTCTGCAGGTGGCCTGGCACGTCAGGTGCTCTGGGGGTGACATCTGTGCAGCCCCCCCCGCCCCCCCAGCGGCCTGACGGGCCAGCAGCTCCCCTCAGAAGAGGTGCGAGTGAGCTGCCACCAGAGCTGCGGGGACGTTGGGTCCGGGCCCTGCCTCCGTGTGCTGCCCCCACACCCACTGTCCGTCCAGACGAGAGCTCTAGGTCTGTCTGCTGTCCTTGGGGCAGGACACGCGCGTGACTTCCCATCAGAGCCATTTGAACATCCTTTTCCGTGGGCACCACACCCACAGTAATGGAAGATAAGTGGTTATGGGCCGGGATCTGGGGAGTCAATAAAGGCAGAGAAAGTGCTATTTTATCCTTTAATCCCTGTAACCAAGGAGCAAAACCCGTTTACTGCGGGAGGAGTGGTGTTGAATCGGTCGCTGGGCCCTGGTCTGGGACAGGACGTCTGGGAACTGGCGCCCCCAGGGTGGGTCAGGGAAGCCCCTGAGAGCCTCAGTTTGGGGGTGGGGCTGGGGGCTGGCGACAGAGCCAAGGGAGAGGTCGGCCTGGGGGTGGTGGGGAGAGCAAGCCCGGCTGGCCCTGGCCCTGCCCCTCCCCTTCCGGCGTGGGCAGACCTGCCTCTGTTTCCCGGGTGTGGGCGAGGTCAGGTTTGGTGAGGGCGGGGGAGGGGCCCACCCTGGATGACCAGCCTCCCCGGTCTGGGTACTGGGCTGGAGCCCCCGTGTGGGGGTGTGTGTATGTGGGGGGGGGGGTGAGCTGCAGCCGATCTGCACAGGAGGAGGCTGCGGCTGAGAAGCTTGTGCATCTGCCCCTCGGGCTGGCGTCTGAACCCGGAGACTGTCTGGCTCCCCGGCCTGTGTCTGCTGGAACTTCCTCACCTGTCAATAGCACTCATTCTAATGGAAATGAACAGGTGTCCAGAAGGTTAGAAGGAAAAAGAGGGGAAAACGCTCTGATTCATAGGGGGACCTGCAGAAATGACCTTGACCTTGGTCTCCGGTTCTTCCCTGGCCCCTGTGTCCCCCACGTGCTCCCAGCCCTCAGGGCTCTGAGGACGAGGGACAACTGAAGATGCTCGTTAAGTGGTGAGCAAGTGAGCCTCCAGCTCTCTGCTCCGGACTCAAGTCCCCATGCTGGGGACAGCTTTCCATTAACAGCCAGTGGGGGCTTTGAAAGCAGGCTAAAAAGAAAAACTCTCATCCGAGGATATTTTTAATGATTTTAGAGAGACAGGAAGGGGGGGAGAGAGGAACATCGATTGGTTGCTTCCCATACACGCCCCGACCGGGAATGGGACCCGCATCCAACCTTTTGGTGTGCGGACGAGCCCCCAGCCAGGTGAGCCACCCAGCCAGGGCCGCAGGCCAGTACTGCACACAGTCCCACCACGCCTGCGGGGTCCCAGTCAGGTGTTTTTCAGACAGGTAACTGAGACCTCCTCTGCTGAGGCGGGCAGGGCGCCCTGGGCACCCAGCCTTTTGTCTTGGGAAGCTGGACCCTCCCCCGCTGGCTCGGTGGAGATGGGGCTCGGTGGGGAGGACGAGCTGATTCTCCCCTGGAGCCCTCCACGTTAGCCATCACTTGTTCTGACGGAGACCGGTGCTGTTCGGGCTGGATCGCTGTCATAGACTCCACACTGGTTTCCTCGAAAGGTTTTTGAGCACCTGCATGAAAGGAAACCGTGAGATGACAACTGTCCTCCTCCGTCCATGCCAAAGGGAATGAGAGACCCCCACCAGGTCGACGACACTGGTTTTTCCAAGAAAGCTCTTCAGGGGTGTCCAGCCCACGGCCCAGGATGGCTATAGACTCGGCCCAACACAGAATCGTAAATTGGCTTAAATCTTCACGGGATTTTTGGTGATTACGTGTTGCACTGTATTTAGGGTGTGGCCCAGAGACGCCAAAGGCTGGGCACCCCTGTAACCTTTCTGAACAACTTCGTCGTAAACTGCAGTACAGCAGTGTTTTTAAAGATTCTAAGGGAAGGAGGAGAAATAGATGTTTTTGAAATGATTATGCAGTCACAGTGGGAAGGCATTTTGGAAAAATGACCCGAGAAATCTCGTGCGAACACAGACACCCACCCACCCACCCACCCACCTACCCTCTTTGACTTAGGAATCCCATTTCTTCAAGAAATGATCCAAAGTCGGGAAATTAAGATCTTCACTGCATAGTTTTGTATAACAGCGAAATACATGAAACAGTCTAAAATGCCCTAGCCCCACACAGCCCTGATAGAATGTATATTTATTAACGATTAAAATGGTCAAAACCGTGGATTCACATGAAAATGCCGCTTCTCTGAAGGACACCAGCCAGCTGTGCGGCGACGCTGCATGTTGGGGTGGCATCCTGTTCGTTTCGGGGGTCCCTGGGTGGTCAGCCCTCTTCCCCAGCTCCTTTGGGTCTTGGGCGTTGTCTTCAGGGGTGGTGGTCCACCCCACCTGGGAGGGGGGAGGGGCTCCACCCCTCCTGGCCTCGGGAGGGGGCTCGGCTCTCTCCACCTCTGCAGATCGCGGGGAGTTCCGTGCGTCCGGGCAGCTGGAGCACCTTCCCCCGCTGTCCTGGGCTGGCTGGCTGTAAATCCAGTGTCCGTCCATGTGTGTGCCGGGGGCCCAGGCTCCTCCAAGGTGCCCGGGGAACCTTCAGGCTGTGAGCTCACCCACCACCAGGGTCTGCTTTGTTTCCAGCTTGGGAATTTCCTGTCCTGCCCTCAGACCCTGCTGTGCTTTGAAAAATGACTTATTCAAGAAAGAGAGAGAGAGAAGGGAGGGAAGGAAAAGAAGGAAGGGAAGAGGGAGGGAGGGAGAACAGACTTATTCTTTACCCCTTACCCCTCTTTTCCATGTGTCTGTGGTGTGATACTCGATCCTCCAAACCAGCCCCCGGTACGTGCTTATCTTTTCCGAGTGTTGCAGTTCCATGAAAATATCTGTGCATAGTGTCAGACTTTAAAATGAGACGGCCTGTGGGTTCCTAGTGACCACTTTTCCTTTGCAAAGATTCCGTGTGGACATCACGTCCTGAAAACGGTCACGCGAGGACCCGCCCTTTCACCACTGCCATTTGTTTCAGCATGCCTACACCGCCACCGCCATCAACGGGACAGACTTCTGCACGTCAGCCAGCGACGCGGGCAGGCTCTTATCCCAGAAGTCACGTCATTTCACATCTGTTAACTGCTTTGGAGACTTCGTCGTTTTTCTAGGAAAGGTGAGGCGTCTTTACTAACATAATGAATAAAGGCAGTTGGGATCCAAACATTAGGTCAGACCGCAGGGCTTGGCACTGGGACGGACGTGTCTCGCACGCTCGCTCTTGGCCAGACGCTCTGCTTCCTAGTTGTGTGTGTCCTCAGCCCCCCAGGTGACACGGTGGGTGACTTGTCCGGGACCCCACGGGTGCCGGACCCAGGCTTTGAGGCCTGTTCTCCGGCCCATTCCCACCATCCCTCCGAGCCCCATGTGTTCACATCTCTGATGCACATGGCAGCAGCCTCAGAAAACGGGCCCTTCCGGGGGGTGAAGGCCGTGAAATAGGTGACGCAGTGTGGGAAGCAGGCAGGGCTGTCCTCTGGGTAGAGGCGTTCGGACCCTGTGCGGACAGAATCACTGATACTCCTTTCAGGGCCAGGGTCACCTTTCTGCTGTCCCCGAGGTGTTCTCTTCAGGGGACCGCTGTGACCCTGTGCGGCGGAGGAGCTGGCGGGGGAGGGGCCAGCCCCGCGGCTGGGCCGCAGGACGCAGTGCCCGGTCTCCTGTCTGTGAATTCACCCGACAGGTGCCCTTCGCAGGTGGCGGGGGAGACGGGCTGGAATGCCAGCGACACTCGTGCTCCGGCCCCGCCTCACGGCTCCACGTGGAAGGTTCTTTATGCCCTGCCCCTCTGGGCCACTTTCCACGGGACCGTCACCCCCTGGGCCTCCTTCTGCGCCCCTCTGCTGGCCTGGTCCCAGTTCCACTTGACCGCCCTTCCAATTCTTGGCCACAGACGGCCGCCCTTGCCGCCCACCCTCGCCCTTCCAGGTGTCCTGGTGCCTGCCAGCCCTTCTGCCCCAGAGCCCCGAATGGGCAAGATCTTGGTCTCCAGTTGTGGCCCGGCCGGCGTTCACGTGGGGACGCTTGGCTCCCGACTTAGTGTGCCATGCTCCTGTGGCCTTTGGCTGCCCCTGTACATGGCTGTCATAGCGAGCTGTCCCCAGCAACCAGTCCCAGTGGGCTCGGTCTGCCAGGTGTGTGCACGTGTTTCCAGGCTCAGCGGGGCCCTGCAGAGCGCCCTTCTGGCCGCAGGTCTGGGAGCGCGGGCTAATGAGCCTTTCAGAGCCGCCTCAAGTAAGTTGTAGTTAAGTAGGTAATACTTTGCATTATCTTGGTAGGGTTACGGGTGACCTATTTTCTAATCCCTACTTCCAAACATTTTTTGGAAGGAGGTTTCATCTTTATGACAGACTTATGTTTTATTTTATTCTTGGGAAACAATTCATTTTTCCGATATTTCCCACAACAAACCCAGAATTGCTACGATTTTCTAACGAGTGTGTAAAGACCAGGGAGTCTTTGGGTTTTTCAAATCGGGTAGGATTCAGGTGGTCACACCATTTGGGGGATCTCTGAGGGCAGAGCAGACTGCAGGCGGGCTGTGTTCTGTCTGTCGAAGGACCAGGTACCCCGGCCTGCCTGCGCCCCGTTCCTGGAAATGGAATTATTGCCTGTCCCTGGGGCCGCCCCATAATGCCCCACACCGCCCTGGAAAGCATCCTACTCTGTCCTCGGGCCACAGACAATCAATCGCACAGCAAACCACAGTACACTCCCCCAGTGGGGTCGCCCTGCCATTTAAAAATGGCGCCCACACACAAGTTGTCGATACCGTGGTGCAGAAGGAAAGAACAGCAGGTCTGTGAGATGCACTTGACCCTCGGCGCCAGGCAGTGCAATCTCACAGACTGCGAGACACACACACACATCCTCCCGCCCTGCGAGGTGGCCAGGTCTCCTTCGCTGTCACTGATTCCCAACTTCATTGTCCCCCGTTTTCTGGCGAGCGTCTGACATTGGGCGCCCACACACCGCCACACACACGCGCTGCGGGTGACACGGGGGCCCCCTGAGTCTGGCCAGTCGTTGAAGGTGCGCTGCACACTCGTCATCGCAGGTGCTGGTGGCGTGCTTCACCGTCTTCGGGGGACTGATGGCCTTTAACTACCACCGGGCGCTGCAGGTGTGGGCGGCGCCCCTGCTCCTGGCCGCCTTCTTTGCCTCCCTCCTGGCGCACAGTGTCCTGTCTGTGTTCGCGGCTGTTCTGGATGCACTTTTCCTGTGTTTTGCCGTCGACCTGGAAACAAATGACGGCTCCTCCGAAAAGCCCTACTTCATGGACCGAGAGCTTTTGGTAAGTGCACGGCCCCGTCCCGGGCGGTCTGCGTGCTCACGGGTGTCCAAGACTTGGGGCCTTCGCCGGGGAGCCAGCCTTAGGGGGGCCTGTGGGGCCTCGTTCGGCAGCTCTCCTCGCCCCACCGGGCCTGCAGGTCCCGAGAGCGAGACGTGGGCCCTGTTCTCCGGGACCGAGCTGCCTCCCTTGTTGGCACCTCCCTGGAGAGAGGTGGGGCGGAACCATTAGCACCACCCAAGTGAGCCGGCCACCAGAGCAGCCCCAGGCCACCAGTGCTCTAGGCTTGGTCTGTCCCCTCGGGTGTCCTGGGGGTGGAACAGTGGCCCTTTTCCCAGAGCTGCTCTTGAGCCCATGCAAGTGGCTTTCCTGCTGTCTGTTGGGGACACACCCCGTCCATGCCCGGGCAGACAGGCCTGCCATCCCGGGCCCTTCGCCAGCCGGGCGCACCCCCTCGAGAAGGCCACACCCCGAGTGCAGCCCACGCTGCCCCTCTCTGGAAATAGCAGGCAGCTGTCCCCGGCAGCTCGTGCGACACAGCTGTCACTTGCCTGATCCTGTGCAGACAGGGACATTTGAACAGCTGATGGAGTAAGTCTCTCGTCTCTTCTCGTTGCCTAGGGCAGGGACGTTCTGCTACTTCTCTCCATTCTCTTGCCGTAAAACTTAGCTGTTGCAGCAGCCCCTGGGCTTTTAAAAGGAGCGCGCAGGGCACTCTGCCGCCCAGCTGGGCGCTGAAGTTCAACGGGCCCTTCTGTGGTTTTACAACAACCCGTCCTCCCCGTCCTCCACGTGCAACATGAACCTGCGACAGCCCTCGAGCTTATTCGAGGTGGCGGGAAGCTGGCCCAGCCTTTTTTTTTTTTCTGATTTGCACTTTTCTGATTCAAAATCCATTTGGGAATATACCCCTCCCTCTCTCTCTCTCTCTGACACACACACACACACACACACACACGCACACTCTCTTTCTCTCTCTCTCTCTTTAATTCAACAGGGGCACTTTTTTATGGATTGAATTCCCCAAAATGATATTGCCAGGTAGATGGTTGCCAACGGGGGAGGCCATAACCCCAGGCTAACTCGTTCTCTTGTTTCTCAGAGTTTTGTGAAAAGGATCAACACATTAAACGACACGAGGTCACAGAGCGACAGCAGTTCTGCGAGGAACGAGGAAGGAACAGAATTGCAGCCTGTCGGGAGGTAGGCGGCCTGTCGGGAGGTAGACGTCCCGTCGGAGTCCGCGGCTGGGAGGGCTTCCTCCGTCTCGGAGCCGTTCACGGAGTAAAGCCAGGGGCCCGCAGCCCGCTCTTCGCTGTGTGGTCCTCCTAGATTGGCCGCCTTCCAGCGCTGCAACCGGAACAGTTCACCACCTCCTCTGTGCTCGCTGGGACGGAAAAACCTTTTAAAAGCATGTTTACATGCGTCGGTGAAAAAGCACACATTCACACACGCTCACTCCAGGGCACACCCCTCACACGGCATCAGCGCGGCCTCAGCAGAGATCTTGGGGATGCGTTTGTCCCCCTGTCCGTCCGTTACCCCCACCCCACACACACATACACAGCAGGGTTTCCCAACCCCTCCCGGCCCGGAAGTGGGTGCACTGTGTTGTAACTCTGCAGGGTACACCTCTTAGATTTTGTGACCTTCACAAGCAGACGCAGGTGCCCTTCCCAGATGCAGGTGAGCTGGTTAAAAGTGCCAGGCTCTGTTGTCCACGTCGGCGGACGTGGCTTTCCACCTGGAGAAGTGCTTTTTGCCACAGCCCCACTGGGAACCACCGGGGGCCGGTCCCGAGACTGAGATGCTGCACCCAGGCCAGGTGTTTGGGGTGGGGGCGGCTTCTCCTTTTTAAAGCTTTAAATCATAACCCGGTACGTGTCGGCTGGCAGCCCCGTTCCAGTCCGATGAGGAGGCGAACAGTTCCCCACTGTCCGAAGGGAGGACCTGGCCCAGGCCGGCTGCCCGCCCGGCCTCCTGGAAAGGTGGGCGGGGAGCAGCCGGGGCCCAGGTCCACCCTGACGGAGACATAAACGACCACTTTGGTCCTAAACAGCAGCACCAGAGGGGTCCCCAGAGCACTTCCTGGAAACGGTCCCTGTGGCCCGATAAGCGACAGGGCTTTTGTGGGGACGCGGCCCCCCCCATCCTCGTCAGCTGCCTCGGCGAATGCAAGCAGGGGAGGTTTGCCGCCAGCACCCCCAGCGCCGGTCCTATCAGATGGAGTCACTCGCCTGAGAAACATCCCCATGTGGGAGCTGACCGTTCTCCCTCCAGAACGGACCTCCTTGTCGTCGTAACTCAACTCTTGGACCTTCTCCGTGTCAAGACCGAAGGTTGGGGTCTGCTGGTGGTCACGTCCCCCCCCCCCCCCCGTGCGTTGTCAAGCACCTGCTGCCGGTTGTGTCTCCTACGAAAAGTGGGTGTTCACTAGAAATTAGAAATGAATCGATCATTTTAAAGTAAAGGCGTCGTAAGTGACCTTAACATTGTATTCATCTAGTTATCTTGTGGGCTATATTTCTATGTAATGCCTTCTTTTAAAAATTTATTTTTCAGCACTGGCTGGCGTAGCTCAGTGGATTGAGCGCAGGTCTGAGGACCAAAAAGGATCGCAGTTCGATTCCCAGTCAGGGCACATGCCTGGGTTGCAGGCCAGTCCCCGGCAGGGGACACATAAGAGGCAACCACACATTGATGTTTCTCTCCCTCTTTCCTTCCCTTCCCCTCTCAAGATAAATAAATAAAACCTTTTTAAAAATTTATCTTTCAGTTAGAGTTGACATACAATATTGTGTAGTTTCAGGTGCGCAATGCAGGTTGGACCCGGGTGAGTCCGGTGCCCACCTGCGCGGCACGCGGTTTGACAGCGTCACTGCCTGTACTCTCTCACAGGACTGCGTGTCCCCGTGACCATTTTGTGACTGTTTTACAACAGGCAGTTGGTACTTCTGAACCGGTTCCCTTTATGTCCATCCCCCAAACCCCTCCTGTCTGGCAGCTCTCAGTTCGTCCTCTGTATCTCTGAGTTTGTCTCTGTTTTGTTCGTTTACTTTGAGATTTTATGTTCCACATATAAGTGAAATCATATGTTATTTGTCCATCCCTGTCTGACTTATTTCACTTTGCATAACACCCTCCAGGTTCATCCAGGCCCTTGCAAACGACGAGATTCCATTCTTTTTTAAGGTAACATTCCCCGGGGCAAACCTGCCGCAGCCTTTTCATCCACTCGCCTGTCGGTGGACACCTGGGTTGCTGCTCTCGCCAGGCTACGGTGAGTAACGCTGCAGGTGCCACACAGTACAGATGCTCCTTTGCATTAGTGTTTTGGATTTCTTCAGAGAAACACTCAGAAGTGGAATTGCTGGGTCCTATGGTGGTTCTGTTGTTGAAATTCTACGATAACTCCATTCTGTTTTCCACGGTGGCAGCCCCAGCCTGCATTTCCCCCAACAGTGCACGAGGGTTCCCTGTCCCCGCTTCCTGACCACACCCACTGGGCAGGTGTGAGGTGGAATCTCACTGGGTTTTAATTTGCATCTCTGATCATGAGTGGCATTGAGCGTCTTTTCGTGTGTCTTGGCCAACTGCATGTCTGTCCTCTTTGGAGAAGCATCTGTTCAGGTCCTCTGCCCATTTTTGAATGAGGTGTTTGGTGTTTGTCCCCCACCCCCATGCTGAGCACGTGAGTTCTTTACAAATGTTGGGTGTATCATAGGCAAATATCTCCTCCCATTCAGTAGGCTGCCTCTTTGTTTTGTAGATGGTTTTCTTCACGATGCAAATGCTCTTTAATTTGATGTCGTCCCCTTGGTATACTTTTGATGTGTTGTCTTTCCCAGAGAAGACAAAAAAAAACCACTAGACCAATGTCAAAATGCTTATTGCCTGTTTCCTTCTAGGCGTTTTGTTGAAATCTTTCATCCATTTTGAGTTTATTCCTGTATGTGGCATAAGAAAGTGTCGTGGCTTCACTGTTTTGTGTGGGACTGGCCAGTTTTCCCAACACCATTTATTGAGGAGATTACCTGTGCACCCTCGTATCTGCCGCCTGCTTTGTTGTACACGAATTGGCCACACATATGTGGGTTTACTTCTGGGCCCCCAGTTCTGTTCCATTGATCTGTGTGTGTGTGCTTATGCCACCAAAAGCAGGCTGTTTTGGCTGCCGGAGCCTTGAAGTCCAGTCTGATGTCAGATAATGTGATGCTCACAGCTTATTTCTTCTTTCTCAGTATTGCTTTGACTAGTCGGGCTCTTGCGTAGTTCCATGTAAGTTTTAGGATTATTCGTTCTGGTTCTGTGACGAAACAGAGTTGTCATTTGATGGGATTACAGTGAATCTGCTGGTTGCTTTGGGCGATACAGTTGTTATTACAATGTCCATTTTTCTAATCCATGAGCACAGTGTATGTTTTTTATCCATGTCTTCAATTAAATTCAGTAAGGCCTTTTCTGAATATAGATCTTTTATCTCCCTGGCTAAATTTATTCCTAGGTATTTTATTCTTTTGGATGCAGTGGTAAATGGGAGTGTTTTCTTAATTTCTCTTTTGGATAGTTTGTTATTGGTATATAAGAATGCAGCCTATTTCTGAACATTCCTTCTGTCTCTGTAACTTTGCTGAATTCAGTTAAAAGCTTTTGGGTAGAATCCTTAGGGTTCTTTCTTGTACCGTCATGTTGTCTGAAAATAATGACAGTTTTACTTCTTCCTTCCCAACTTGGGTGACTGATTCCTTTTTCTTGTCTGATTGTTGTGTCTAGGACTGTTAATACTGTATTGATAAAAGTGGTGAAAGTGGACACCCCTGTCTTGTTCCCGATCTAAAGGGAAAGGCGTTTACTGTTTCCGCATGGACCGTGACGTCATTGTGCGTTCGTCATAAACAGCCTTTGTTATGTTGAGACACGTTCCCTCTGTCCCCACTTTGCTGAGAGCTTTTCTCATGATGGGTGTTGGATTTTGTCAGATGCTCTTTCGGTATCTATTGATATGATCATATAATTTTTATCCTTCACTTTATTTATGTGGTGTATCACATTTATTGATTTGTGAATATTCAGCTGACAGCCTTTTGGGAGCTCCCTTGTAGGTAACTCCCAAACCAACTTGAATCCCGAAAATAAATCCCACATGATCATGGTGTATGATCCTTTTAATGCATTTCTGAATTTGGTTTGCTAATATTTTGTTGACAATTTTTAAGCATCTGTGTTCTTCAGGGATATTGGCCTACAATTTCCTTTTTTTGTAGTGCTTTTGTCTGGTTTTGGAATCAGGATAATGGTAGCCTCATAAAATGAGTTTGTGAACTTTCCCTCCTTTTCAGTTTTTTTGAATAGTTTGAGGATATTCACTGAATATTTGGTAAAATTCATCTCTGAAGACATCTGTTTTTTGGGAAGTTTTTGATTACTGATTTGGCTTCATTACTATTTGTAATTTGATTCCATTTTGTTTCTTCTTGATTCAGTCTTGGAAGATTGTATGTTTCTAAGAATTTACCCATTTGTTCCTGGTTGTCCAATTTGTTGGCATATAGTTGTTTGTAGTATTTTCTTATAATCTTTTATATTTCTGTGGTGGTGGTTGTCTGATTTTACTTATTTGGATCCTATTTTTTTCTTGGTGTGTCTGGCTAAAGGCTTATCAATTTTGTTTATCTTTTCATGGGACCAGCTCTTGGTTGTATTTATCTTTTTAATTTTGTATTTATTATGCTTATACATCATCTTTCTACTTTTGTTTTTTAACCTTCTTACTAGTGTTAATTGGTTGATACATTACTTTTACTGTTTAGTTGAGGAATTTTTTTCATTTTCTTATTCATATTTTTTAAATCTTTTCTACTTAAGGAATTCCCTTTAACATTTCTTGTAATGCTGCCGGTTAGTGGTGATGAACTCCTTTAACTTTTGATTGTCTAGGACACTCTCTTATTTGATTCTAAATTATGACCTTGCTGGGTAATCTTGGTTGTAGGTTTCCCTTTTTAACCCTTTGACTATTTCATACCAACCGCTTCTTGCCTGCAAAGTTTCTGTTGAGAAATCAACTGACAGTCTTTTGGGAGCTCCTTTGTAGGTAACTAACTGCTTTTCTCTTGCTACTTTTAAGATTCTCCCTTTGTCTTTAACCTTTGGCATTTTAATTATGCTGTGTCTTGGTGTGGGCCTCCATGGGTTCTTCTTGTTTAGGACTCTTTGTGCTTCCTGGATTTGTGTGTCTATTTCTGTCTCCAGGTCACGGAGGTTTTCAGTCACTATTTCTTCAAATAGGTTTTTGATTCCTTTATCTGTCTCTTGTCCCTCTGGGGCCCCCACAATATGAATGTTGTCAAGCTTGGTGTTTTCCCAAAGGTCCCTTCAACTATCATCTTTTTTCAAGGTTTTTTTTTTTTTTCTTTTTGCTGTTTCTGATTGGGTGTTCTCCACCACCTTGTTCTCTCGATCACTGATTTGATCCTCTGCTTCATCTAATCTGCTGTTGATTTCCTCTAGTGTATTTTTTTTATCTCAGTTATTGCATTCTTCAGCTCTGATTGTTTTTAATATTTCCTATCTCTTTGCTGATGTTCAGAATTTGTCTGTTCCTTTCCCATGTTCACTGAGCATCTTTACAACCAGGGTTCTGAACTCTGTACCTGGTGGATCGTTTATCTCCATTTTTAGTTCTTTTTCTGGCATTTGGACCTGTTGTTTCATTTTGGGGCATCTCTTAAATCTCATGTTGCCAGCCTCCCTGGGTTTGTTTCTGTGTGTTCCGTGGGGCTGCTGCGTCTCCCAGTCCTGAGAGTGGTCTGATGGCGGTGTCCTGTGGGCCAGCGGAGCAGGCCCCCACACACACCTGAGCCAGTTCTTCAGGTGTCCCTTGTGTAGGTTGCCTGTGCCTTCCCACCCTAGTTGGGCTTTGATTGCTGCTGGCACATTGGTGGCCCTGGGGCTGACTGGCTGTGACAGCTGGGCCAGCAGTACAGCAGATGAGTCATTGTTTGGGGACTGACCCCACAGAGTAGAAATTACCTTAGAAGGGCTCTGGTGTCAGCCACGGCCATCTGTCAGGTGCGTCAGTTGTGGGTCTGGGTGGGTGGCATCTGGCATTGTCTGAGGCCAGCTTCCTGTTGTACCGGGCTGGGGGCTGTTCACTGGGAGCTGCAGAGTGACCTGTGGTTGGTCACCACTGTGCTGGGCTTGGGGCTGCTGCGTGTGTGGTGCTGGCGGTCCTTCCAGGACCAGCTGCACCAGCTGAGGCCGGTGACTTGTGTGTGGCCTCTGGAAGAGGCTCCAGCGGGGCACACGTGTGGGATGGGGTCAGGTCTCAAGGTCATCAGGGTCATCAGGGCAGAGCAAGGTGGCAGCCAAGTTAAAGGACAGCACAGATTTGGTGTCACCTGCACGGGGCCACCTGGATGGAGATCTCAGGCAAGGGCCAGGGTGCCCACCAGCCCCTTTGTCCTTGGAGACGGTTCCCTTGACCCGTCCCCCCAGCCCTCACCGTGAGGTTAGCCATTTTAGTTCTTCCCAGAAGTCGCTGCCCATGGCGGGCCTGAGTGAGTTTGTGCACCGGCCCTTCTCTCTGGGACACAGCAGCCCCTGCTGGGTTTCACAGCTAGATGCCGTGAGGACCCCCCTTCTCTGCATCCATGTCCCACTCTGGGGAACCAGGTATGGGGCGGGGACCCCTTGCTCCTCAGGACGGAGGACCTCTGTGGCTGAGGCGTCCCTCCCAATTCTTAACTGCCACACACGGGTTGGGGCCTGCCCGCTCCCTGCCTCCACCCCTCCTATCAGTCCTGTCATGTCCTCTCGCTCCTTGGTCACAGGACTTCTGTTGGGTCCGGTGGCTCTCGGGACGGCTGTTCTATCATTGGCTGAACCTTTGATGTTGTGGGAGGTGGCAAGCACAGTGTGTTTCTTACTGACATGCATTCACCCCAGAACATGGATGCAGCGTCCTACCCGCATCTCCACTAATGTTTCTGAAGGTGACGTGCAGATTGTCGGAAGCTGCATTTGGGGCAGCTGCGTCACCACAGGACGAGCAAGGGCCCGATAACCGTTTGACTCCAGCTGTGGCTATGACGCGTCCCGGGCAGGCCCCCCCATCCGGCGGGGCCCACTGCTGCATGGGTTGCGTCAGGCAACGCCATCATCGGGCCCCAAAATGGGGCCCGGGAAGGAGTGCTCCTGAAAATAATCAGCTGGTGGCTCACATGGATGTTCAAAAAATATTTATTTATAAAAAATACAATGGGGTACGTTTACGCTGAGAAATGCAGCAATAAATACAGTGGCAATACGGCTTGGCGATGCCGGCACATGGGCACAGACAGGAAGGGCCCCCGCTCGAGACGCTCCACTCGGGGACGACCTCGCCAGCTCACGGGAGAGAATGAGCACACACGGGGGCACGGGTGCACACGGGTCATGACTTTATTTAAAAATGAGCGCACAATACTGTAGAAATACCGATATGTAGATTCCTAAAAATGCCGCGTCTTCACTTTAGCGGGCAGACGCCGCCTTTAGCTAGAAGCATGAATTTAGTCTTCCGTGTAGACACCAGACACTAAACTGGAGGGGGGGAGAAAAAAGGAGGGGCTTTCTATTGTTTGGAAATGCCAGGTTCAGCAGAAGATTGTAAAATTGCACGGGTCTGTCGTGAAAAAGACTGGGCTGTACAAGAGAGGTCCTCTTTCACAGTTTTCCTCCGTACTTCACACGCGAGTTACTGGTTAGGCCGTGGGGGGCGGCTGTTATGGTGCAGGAAGGCAACTATGGAGGGCAGAGGTGGGAAGGGACGGGGGTGCGTGTAAGGCAGTATCTCAGGTACAACAAGCATAATAGTGTTTGAGGAGGACAAGATAAAATGACTCGAGGCTAGCGTGGCTCTCATGAACAGACACGGCGGGCTACGGACCGGGCTTCCCTGGGACTAGTAGTCGACGCCCTGGTCGCCGTACTGGTACTCGCGGGGGTAGTCGTCCGGGTACTCGCCGTGGTACTCGTCCGGGTACTCGGCCTGGTAGTCGCTGTCGCTGATCTCCGAGCCGTTGGTGCCTGTCCCTTGGCTCCCGTTGTGAATGACAGGTTCTGTGGGGGCGGCGCAGTACTTGGGGTCGTACACTTGGCGCCCGAGCCCGTACACGCTCATGCCTTTCTGCGACGCGACTTTGTTGGTGCCCATCTGCAGGGAGATGGTCGAGTTGTCCACGGGCTGCAAGGTGAGCTTCTGGTCGTAGATGTCTCTCCTGGTGCCGGGCGCCAGCATCCCCGCCTGCAATCAGGGCAGGGCACAGGCGTTAGAGTGGCAGCTGAAACCGGGTCTTGCAACTGTTTCGTAAGGGATGCAGTTACCCCGAATGTGGGCAGGAGCACAGCCTGCCTCGGGCTCAGCTAACCCCGTGGCAGCCCGAGGGTGCAGCTCTCCCTCACGGAGCTACACGCACCGGCCGCAGAACCAGGCCGCCGGCCTTCGGTCCCAGCTCTGCTGTGAAGCTGCTCTGTGCCTCAGACGGGAGTCGGGCAGCTTCCCATAGGCACAGCGGAGAAGGTACCGTCTCCTTTGGATTTTGGAGCGGACCAGATGTAAAGAAGGTGAAACCGAAGCTTCCTGCCGCGCCCCCGGGAGTTGTGTGTGAATACGCGAAGGTGCCCACTACCACCCCGCACGTGGGCCGAGTTACCGACATCAAAGTCTGTCACACGTTCAGCAAAGGTTACACGGAGTCGTGCCCGAGGACCCGAGGTTTCCCAAAGGCCTGGGGACACGGGAGCGCCAGCCACACAGGACACGTCCCCTGAGGGTGAATAGCAAGCACCTCCTCCTGTGGGGCTCATGGACAAGGCGTGTCCTCAAGGCCACCCTGGGCGGGCAGGTTCACCCGTGGGTGGGGCCCTGTGTGGTGCTGTGGGCTGCTGGGAACAAGGAAGCTGCCCGTCTTGCGAGGAGCCAGGACAGGGGCGGTCTCGCCTGGGGAAGCCCCCTGTTGGGCTGTAACCTGCCCCCCACATGTCATAGGAATCTAGCGAAACGGTCCCTAGGAGACCTTCGGATGACTTCCCCCAAATTAGGTCATTGATGACCTAACTAGCTCATGAAGGGCTCCTTTGAAAACACAAGTCAGCAGCATTAAGATGAGCCACTGACTTGGATTTGGAGCCAGAACACAGTCACGTTCCTTTCTCTTCTGGTGAGGAAGCCAGGCCAGCTGTTCTGACCTCCAACGAGAGCGTGAGCCCCGCTGCACGGGGCTGCAGAAAGGGCCTTTCATTCTTGTGCTTTCTCAGCAAAACCCCCTTCTGGAAGGAACTGACTGCTGAGGGACCACGCCCAGCTCGGCCCCTTGCCCTTGGCTCCCGCGATCAGGCACGCGCTGGCCCCGCCGCCCGCCCCGCCGCCCGCCCCTCCGCTCACCTGGCTGGCCCCCTTGTTGGTGCCCATCTGCAGGCTGATCGTGGTCTGGTCGAACGGCTTGTCGGTTTGCATTTTGGGGTCGTAGAGGTGCCTCCGCGTCCCGTAGGCGGTCATCCCTGCCTGGCTGGCACACTTGTTGGTCCCCATCTTTGAAGTTAAAGAAAAAGATCAGCACCAGTCACCCGACGGCAACAGCATTTCCGACATGGACAAGGCTTTGCTGAAGAGACGCACCGGGCCCTTCCTGTGAGGGGGCCCAGCGATGATACCAAGTCTCCCCCGTCCTTTCCTCAAGTTCAAGGTGCCACGTGATAAAGGAGACTCTCAAACAATTCCCTGGATATAAAAATCTCGCCATCATAACCGTATAAATAAATGGACACAGGAAGGAATAGACAGACATCAAAAGTTGTTAAGTGGCCACATGATGAAAAATTCATTTCCCCTGCGACCCCCCACCCCCAGTACAGACGACCAGGACTTAAAGGGACAGAACTGTCTTGGGCATCAGACTTTTCTCCTCCAGGTACGTTTTGCATTAAATAGGGCAGCAAACGCCAGGCGTCTTCTTGGGCAGCTCAGCCTGGGCCACCACAGACCCCATCAGAATCGCCCCCACATTCATGAAAAGAGAAGCACGTTTTTTCCTTCAGCTCTCAGGCCCACTGGCCCAAGAGGCAGCGGATGTGGGCCGTGAACCTGGCCCCTTTGGAGGGGCAGGGACTGGCTTCCCTCCCCAGGGAGGGTGACGGGGCTCCAGGACCGGCCGGCTGGCGCACCCGGCTGCTGCTGTGGGCTGTGGTTCTGTGCCTGGTCTTTTCCCCTTAGTAATAGGGATGAAAGGGGAATTCTTTTAATACTAAAAGTAAAAGTCTGTTGGAAAAGATTCCGAAAACATACATGAGTGCAAAGGAAGGGGGGTTGTCACCGCAGTGGGCCCGTCCGGGCACCTGCTATCAGCACGCGTGTGGGTCCTCCTGGCTCTCCCGTGTGTGTGTTTGTCCGTCTGTAACCCCACACCCAGGGGACACCACCCCCACCCCCCAAATAGGCAAGTGCATCTCCCAACCGGCCGCTTGGAAATTCAGGTTTCCAGTTTCTCGCCACTGAGACCCTTTTGTTCTGCACAGAAATGAGCCCACCTCCCAGAGACTCCGCCTAGAGGGGGGTGTCGTGCCCCCACCACACGGTGGGCACTTGGCCGAGGTGGCTCTGGGACACGCTCCAGGGGGACGATGTGAAGGGAGAGAGAAACCCCGAGTGGGCATTTCCCAGGAATTAAAGCAACAAACTAACAGCGTCCGGCCGCTGCTGTGCGGTGCTTCCCTAGACAGACGACTTTGGCATTGAGGCCTTGGACCACCGCCTCATTTGTAAGTGGGGTGAGCAACCGTGACCTGCAGAAACAAAGGGAAGGCAGCGGCACACCGGGGGCTCCGTCCGAACATCGCCACCACCTCCTGGGCTGTGAGGGGACACGAACTGCGCGAACCACACAGCCACCCCCGACCCTGTGCTGCGGTCTGCCTGCTCTCGCCGACGATAGATGCTGTGCGTGCCGAGAAGTCACCCCACTGAGTGACGGGCTGAGCGACACCGCGTCACCTACCTGCAGACCAATGACGCTCTGGCCAGCTTTTAACTTCCCCTCGTCGAAGCGCCGGGTCTGCTTCTCCGCGTACTTCACGCCGAGGTCAATGGTGGTGTGGAAGCCCTTGGTTTTGGCCTAGAGAGAAACGCGCAGGCTCGCTGAGTGGAGAGACTCCTCCGAGAACCTGTACCGCCGAGTGTCACAGGACAAGCAACAAGGACCCGATCCCGTCCGTGGCTGGGGGCTCTGTCAGCCACCACCCGATCCGGGGGAGGACCCCGTGTGTGAGGCTGTTCCCCGAGATGCGCGGTCCCCCTGCTGCATGGGGGCAGCTGGTGCCAGCAGCCTTGTCCCAACGGTGGCAGTTACGGAAGAGATGGGCCCGTGCCGCCTGGCCTGACCTCCCAGGGCACAGTGAAGCCACCGCCCATCGCCCGTGTGGCGGGCATGTGGGGAAGGCCTGTACGCACCAGACCGGCCAGGGCCACCAGCGTCGTCTGGACCTGGGTCATGTTTCCATTCTCGAAAAGGTCATTGGCTTCGAATATGTCGTGGGGCTTCATGCCGTAGGCCTGGATGGCTTTGATGAAGTTGCCGATGTTCTCCAGCTGCAAAGGCAAAGAGTCACGTGACGTTTACGGCCAAACAGGGACATTCCCGGCACCCAGCGTTCTCGGTCCTCACGGCTGCGTATGAGACGCTGGGCAGAGGGCTGCTCGGCCGGGACCCCTGACCACACACGCGCAGGCGGCGGTCCGAGAAGGGGACCGAGAGAGAAGCAGGAGCCCTGCACAGTGGGTCACGCAGGGTCTCTCTGAGCACTAACGTTCTCTTAGCTCCAGGGCAGGATCCGCCTTGCCTGCGTGTAAGAATCCTGTGTCAGTTATCGGGGGCTGGTCTTCCCTTTGTGCAAACGGACATAATGCACTAGTGTGTCATATTCGTTACGTGTTCATTTAAGTATAAACTTCTGGTTGCTAGGTGCTTATCCGGTCACGTGTGAACACACACACCCATGGCTGCACTGTGCACGGTTTTTCCTGCTCTCACGTGCCCACGAACCAAGACCGAGCTTCCTGCGGAGTCGTGCGGTCCCCCGTTAGTTCTCATGCAACAGTCCTCGCTTTGCCCTCATTTATCCTTACGGTCTAGGTTGCATTTCCCTCAGACGAAACACGAGAAAACTTCTAGGCTACACAGCTGATAACCAGAGAACACGTTCTGAGTGATTATGGAGGCATCAAAAAAAACCCCAACACGGTAAAAAGGAAAACGAGCCAGCTCCCGCTGAAACGTCACTTTCAAACAGTGATGGAGTTTCCCCGTCTCCAGAATAACGGCAGAAGGTGGGGGGCGGGCTGTTACCTGAGGCCAGTTTAAGGAGGACTCGTTGACCTTCCTCACGGAGCCCGGCTGCAGCTTGTTTATGAGTCTGGAAGGGAAAGCGGGACGGCTACTTACTGGCCACACAGGGACAAGGGCCGGACGCCAAGCCAGTGCCCCGTGACGAAGACGTGGACGGACACCGGGACGGGGCGTCGGGGCCCCACGGACTCACTCGCAGAGGATGATGCCGTCCCGCAGGCCCAGCTGGAAGTTGGGGCCGATGCTCATGCCGGTCACCTCCTCGATCCAGCTGCGCAGGTCCTCCTCCGCCTGGTGGTCATACTTGGACGCGATCTGCAACACGGGAGACCCACGCCAAGCATGTTCACAGCGTCCCAAGGACGCTGGCTCACAGTGCGACCTGCGGCCACCTGCCCCGAGGGTCCCAGCCAAGCGGACGCCCTCCCGAAGCTTCCTGGGTGAGTCGGGGTTATTCCAACACTGAGCAGCCCGTGGTCGGCCGCGGGGACTGAGAAGGGAACACACGCCCAGACGACAGTCCCACCCTCCGCGGGCAGGCAGTGAGGAGGGCTCGGCGCTCGTCACACTGTGGCACCGGCCACAGCGCTGCTAGAGGGCCAGTCCCTGATCGCCACACTGCAAACAGGAGGCTGGTGGGGCTGGGACACGCGGCATCGTAACCGGCCCAGACGCGTCGCTCCCGCTGCCTGCAAAGCCGCGGAGTCTCTTGTGGAGACACGCACACACCCCTCGCTGCTGGTCACGTCCAGCTCCGGTCACGCGCTGTGTCCTGGCACGCTCCTCACAGGAGTCATGCCGCACCCTCCAGTCACCCGAACATTTAACGAAAGTCGAAGAAAATCTGTTTTTCCCCAACCGAGTTCTGTACGGGGAAGGCGCCTCACCTGCCAGAACAGCCACAGGTTCTGAAAGACCCCTGTGTGCGCGACCGGAAACCCCATTAGAAAAATAAGCCGCACAGAATACTGTTAAAAGCCACACATTCACGTTCTCAGGCGATTCCTTGTCCCTGGGTCCTGAGAGCAGCTGGCTGGACTGCCGGTTGCTAAGGAGACCACGGTGAGGACAGAGGCTGGACGTGTCCTGGGTCTTCCTGTGGGCACCAGTGACCATGAGAGCCCCACATGACCAGCGAATGCCCAGGGCCAGGCAGCGCCAGCGTGTGGCCTCGGTCACAGTGCGGACGGTAAGGACGCACAAAGTCTGCTGCCCCAAAACACGATTAGAGGCCCTTCGAGTCCCAGTCACACGGTCCCAGACGAACACGGAGCCCTGACTGTGTCCGGGACCCAGAGCTGAGATCCCAGGCACTTCCACCCCCCAAGTTAGAGAAATGGCCCCACCCCGACGGACTAACAGAAAAATCATTTATTCACAGATCACAAAACAGAAATTCAGTGAGTTTACATTTTCACATCAAGACAGCTGACACCCCCGAGTTCCCGCCTGGAGGTCGGGGGGGGGGGGGAGCCCAGTGTGTGATTTCCTGGCCCCTGGGTCCCGGTCCCTCAACACACACCCCCTCTGGTTTCCTGCCCGCCTGGGTCCGCGTGCTGGAAGCTTCTGCCCAGGACTGGGCGGCCTCCCGCACAGGAGGTGGCCGCCACTGCTGTTCTCTGCACGTACCGACTCCCGCACGCAGTCGGGTGGCGGGGGGGGGGGGGTGGCGTGCGCCCCACACACCCAACGTGCCGGTCTCACACAGCACCTTCAGAAATGAAATATGTACGTAGCGCCTCGGCAGGAAAAGACTTAATACCTGACTGGAGTCTTGTTACAAGTGGCTGGAAAAAGAAATTCTGTGTACATGGGAGTGGGGGGGCGGATGGAAGGAACCAGGCAAAGGAGAGAAGCCAGAGTTCCGTCCCCACGAGGCGTGGAGAGCAGGCTGCGGGTTTTCCTGCTGTGTTTCCAAGGACGAGATGCATTGCGGTCAACTGGAGACAAAACTGAAAGGTGGGGGGCGCTGGGTCCTGCTCCCGGCCCTGGGTGAACTGGCCTCCCTTCAACCCGCTTCCTGTCTACACAACAGGAAGGCCGAGGGCTTCCCATCCCCGGCCGTGTAAACAACGCCGTCAGTCAGCAGAGCCAGTCGGGCTCCCTGCCTCGTTTTTCCAGTGCAGAAGGGAATGTTACATCGGGGGCTCTGGGGCGTCTTGGGGGGCTGGGGGAGGTGGGGGTAACTCTTGGCCCAGTGACACCAATGATTATGCAACCAAAAATATAAGAGCCTATTTCCATTTCCTTTGTTCAACATGCGAAAAATTCAGGGCCAAGTCCAAACCACCGAGTGATTACAGAGCTGACTGGGAAACTCCTGCCCGGATGCCAGAGAGAGAGAGAAAGCGGGGCCGGAGCCCAGGGGCCTGGGTTCGGGCCTTCCCCCCCCACCCCGTGTGGTACTGGGGCTCCGGACAGCTGACCACGGGCACCAGCACGGAGTGAGCGAATTGGAACAGACCGGTCAGCTCACCGGCAGCGCTCCACCCGAGGTGGGGGGGCTTCCAGTCCCAGGGCTGCGGGGCTTCACCTGGGGCTTTTGCACCCAAAGCTGCTGACGTTGGCCCAATAAGTGAGCTTTCTGCCGCCAAGCCAGGTAACTAAGCAGAATTCAAGGTTTAGGCATGTGTCCTTTTTTAAAAGAAGTTTAAAAGGAAAAAAAATCTCCTGAAATCATCTGGGGAAAAATCCATTTCAAATGGCCTCTGGGCCCCCAGCCTGCTGTGCTCTGTTCTGGGGGACACGGAGCCCAGGGTCACACTCCCCAGGGACGCAGGTCACCTTTGAAGTGTCTGAGACACACATCTTTCATGATCAAGGAACCGAGAGCAATTTGGTGTAAAAGGTAAGCTCCAGCCAGTGCAGTTCACCCAGTATTTTTGTTTCACCCACAAAGCTCAGAACAGCAGACACCATGCTGGCGTGTCCCTCCCTGCAACAGGAAGGCCAGCTCAAGTTCATCTTCTTACACTGCAAGGAAGGTTCACTGTTTGTTTAAAAATCGCTCTTCCAAGTGCGTGTAGGATCCGTTCCTCACCCTGCTTCAGGAAGTATCTTGCGACACCCGACCTTCCCAGCTCCTCACAGAGTCCCTGCCTGCTTCCTCGCAGTCCCCTGTGTCCCTGTCCCCCACACCCAGGCCCCCCTCCCGGGGCCAGCCCACCCCTCCTGCCGGGAGCCCCCCGCGGACTCCCCTGTTTGACAGTGCGCCTGCCCGGGGCCCCCGCCCCCCACAACTCAGCAGCGTCCTCCTGGCCAAATACAATCCTGTCACGTGGAACAAGGTAAGCCAGACGGGGAAGGACAGGAGCTGGGTGACTGCACTCACACGTGACAGAGCAGAAACCAGAAGAACAACCGACTCATGGACACGCAGGATGGTGATGGGGGAGGGGGTGAAGGGTCCCACACACACGGTGACAGGAGGAGCCTGGGCCTTGTGTGGAGCTCCCACAGGGCAGTGTACGGATGACTGTGCCACCGACTGGACACCTGGAAGCTTGCATAGTGCCCTAACCCATGTCAGGCTAATAAACTTAGTTAATAAAAAAAGGCAAAATAAAGGCCAAGGAAGAAGCACCTAGGGCACCCGATCGGGGGACGGTGCCCCCCGCCCATTCCCTGCTCACCGCTGGTGCCCTGAGCCCCACCCGCACCCCACACCCAGTGCCCCGCCCCCGCCCAGCCGGCCCTGGCAGCCTCCGTGGCTCTTGTCCGCCTCCTGGCTCCGGTCCGGTGGCTTCAGCCTTCTGCTCAGTCCCCAGAAAAGCTCAGGGCCCCGCCTGGGGTCCCCCACCTTCCTCCGGGATTTCTGGAGTCCCTCACAAGTACAGGGCTGGAGTGGGCAGAGCACGGGGCTGGGGGGGGGGAGGCGCAGGGCTGGGCCCCCGGGGGCGAGGAGGCCGTCCTAGCAAAGTCCGCTCCTCTGGGGTCAGCTTGGTGGGTCGTGCAGGCAGCAACCCGACGATATGGGAGGGACTGACAGGCACCAATACAGTGAAAAAGGACGGGTCCCTCCACCGCCCCCGAGTCCCGCCCCCCAGAGCTAAGCTCCTGCAGTTCCTGACGGACAGAGGCCCGGAGGAGGTGGGAGCCCACTGGTGGGGGGCACACGGCCCGGCGGCTGGCCCCACCAAGGGTGGAGGGTCTCCCTCCGAGACCCCTGCCAGGGGCGGGTAACGACGGGAACCTGTGTCCACGGCCAGCTGGACGAGTGACCTGACCCGAAAGCAGAGAGACAGAGACAGAACGAGGTGGGAAGACATTTGCCTCCAAGAAAGAATCAGGGCGGCTGCTGGGACTAACAGGAGACTAGCAGGCCGGGGACTCGGGAAATGCCAGACGCTGTCCCTTCCTTGTCCTCATCGTCGCTGTCCCGAAACGCGGCCACCCGCCTGGGCCCCAGCAGCGGTCACATGCTCTGAAGTCAGACAAACGCCAACACTCCCCACTCCCCAAACCGTGTGACCCAGCTCGGTAACTTAACCCTGACCCCGTTTCTCGGAGGTCATCGCCTGCCGTCCAAGGCCACGGTGAGGTGGCGGTCCCCGGACACCTGTGCTGCCGTTCGGTCCAGTGTCTGTGCTGAGCGTGCAAGAAGTCTCGCTGCAGACGGGCTCGCCACGGCCGCGGTCTCCACCCTGTCCCTTCCACCCGCCTCGTGGTCACAGCGGTCTCTGCCCCTCCCTCCAACGAGAATGTCCTCCTGTCCCCACTCTGCGTTCCTTCTCAGATGACCACTGGTCTGTACCTCCTGGGGGCGGGGTGGGGACTGTGCAGAAAACCACTTTCATTTTGGGACAGCGAGGGCGGGGGCACCCCCAGGGTCACCACGGGGCCGGGGACTCACACAGGAGCCCAAACCCTCTGAATCCCTGACAGGGAGCACTGCTGAGGGGCCAGCAGAGCTGGCCTCCCCCCCAAATGCGCCTCCTGGGATATGGAGTGCTTCAGGCTGGTTATTTCTAAGAAACAAAAGACTGGGGAAAAAACCCAGACCTTTGATCTTCCCTCTAACGGCCTAAAAGACTAGAGAACCTGCTCCAGGAAGAGGCGTTACAGTCGAACATGAACTAGCCCGACAGGCAGGGAGGAGCCTGGCGAGGCTCCTTTGGTCAAGGTCCACCCAGGCCCCGCTGTGGCAGGCGGCCCAGCAGACATGATCTACCACCGAGCGTCTGCCCCCCCATCTCCGTGGGAACTGTCCTCTCCCCAAACTGCGGCCCCCGCTCCTCAGCCCGAGGCAGCAGCAGCGTCTCGGCCTCCACGCCGATCTGTCCCGGCCCCTCGGTCCGACGGCACCTGCACGCACA